GGCAGCTGCTGGCAACCCTCTGCGTTCCTTGGCTTGTAGAGAGAGGGCTTCAATCTCTGCCTCCCTGTCTTCACGTGGTCTTACCCGTGTAAGTCAAATTTCCCTGTCTGTTAGAAGGACTCAAGTCATTGGACTAGTCTGTTCGAGGATAATCTCATCTGGAGAGCCTTACCTTAATTACATCTGCAAAGACCCTTCGTCCAAATAAGGTCATATTCTGAGGCTCTGGTGGACAAGTCAACCCACTGCAGGGACTGAGGGATCCTCTGAGGCATTCAAACTGAATCCTAGAAACTGAATCCAAACTTGAAAAGATGGCTCTTCTCACTGGACTAGCCCCCCAGGGGTTACCTGGTCCCTCAGAGCAGGAGTGCTGGGGCCACGTCTCTTCAGCACCTGTCGGGGGCCAGGTGGTGTGCCAGGCACCATTGGTGGAAGATGAGTAAACCCAGCCTCAGCCTTGGGGCAGTTTGCAAGGCAGGAGGGAGGGAAAGGCCACATGGAGCAGTGGTTCTCCTGAAATGGATTTTGCCCCCAAGGGGACATTTGGCAATGTCTGGAGACAGTTTTGATTATCATGACTGAAGGGGGGAATGTGCTAGTGGCATCTGGTGGGTAGAGACCAGGGATGTTACTAAATATGCTACAATGCACAGGACAGCCCCCTGTGACAAGGAATTATTGGGCCCCAAACGTCAATAGTGCTAGTGTTGAGAAACTCTGGTACAGGAAAAAAGTAGAATCTTTTAGGACTTTAATAAAATAATAAAACTCATACTGCCCCTGAGTTGGCGATTTTCAGGAAACCTGGATTCTCAGAATTCAAGTTTGATTCACTACCTATGGACCTGTCTAAAATAGCTAAGGAGTCCCTTAGCCCAACTTCTTCATTTTGCGGATGAGAAAACAGGAACTGAAAAAGAAAATAATTATAATAGCAACCGGGGCCATCTCTTGAGCACTTCTAGGGCGCCACACAGTGTAGTAGTGTTTTATGAAATCTGATGGTCACCACAACCCTGTGGGGCAGAGACTTTATTATCCATATTTTATATAATAATTCTCAGGGGGTTAAGTAAACTGCCAAGGTCCTACAGCTTATAAGCGGCAAACTGGGTTCAAACAGTGGTTCCTCTGATGTCCAGGGCCTGGATCTTTCCATCAAGCGCACACACTGCAAGTACGTTTAGTGACTTGCCGGAACTGGGAGGCGTGCTTCTTCCCAGCACAGTGTTCATTGCACAGCCCAAGCCTGCTGCCCACTTCTGTTTAGAGCTGCTCCTGCCTCCTGCCTCCTGAGAGAGGGAGGGAGGAAAGGAAGAGAAGGCTCTCCCTTGCTCAGGGAGCAGAACTGCTTCTCCTTCACTCACTGCCCAGAAAATGAAGCCCTGTTGGCCCATTCATTCTGCCAAGGACCCGCCCGACCTCCTAAGTCTATCAACCAAATTAAAGCTTCCCAGTCTGTGGGATTTCACGGGCTATTACAGTCTAGGTAGATGATAGATAGATAGATAGATAGATAGATAGATAGATAGATAGATGATGTCTACTGGGATGCCACCTTTTTATCTTGGCAAGTACAGATACTAGCAAAAACCAATGATCATCTTCCATCATGGCCATTTCATAAAATGAAGAATATTGCAATACCAAAATAAGGAAGGACATAATCTCAGAGCAAAAATAGTCCTTTAAATTAAATAAATATAACATAATGAAAAAGTTACAACAGTGTTCTCATTTCTCTATTATATAGTGAATCACCGTACAATTACCTATCTATGACATTCCATATTCAGTGGGAGTTTACTTTACTGCAGGATGAAGCCCCAAGTGAAAAACTCAGGAATTCTCCTAGTTGAAGAACCCTGAGTCCTGCTGTCAGGACCAGCTGTGGTCTAGTGCAAGGAGCTTTGAGTCCAAAGACCTTGACCTGAAGCCCAGCGCAGCCACATATTGGAGGAGGGTGGGGGTACCCTTTGGCCACACTCCTGAACCACACTAGGTCTCTGTCTCTGCCCTTGTAAGATGGGAATATATGAATGACTTCCTCGCAGCGCCAAAGAGTCTATGTTAGGCACTCCCAGTAAGGTCCAGTTAGTCCCGCCTTCCCCTCTCAGAATCCACGTGTCCATTATTCCTGGCAGTGGTGTCCGCCTCTAGTTTCACACTTCCTGCTCACGACACAGTGGCCTCCTCACACCCAGACAGCAGCTCTCACAGGAGCAGGTCCTTCCCCCATCCAGCCCGGCTCCCCTCTGGCACAGCTGAGGATGGCTGCATTCATATTTCTCCATCACAACATCTCCAGCATCTGAAGGCAGCAAGCCCTTCTGCCTTGAGTCTTCACTGCAAAGTGGTGGAAATGGTTACCGAGAGAGAAAATCCTGCTGAAGACATCAAAACATCCACATAAGAAACCAGGGGGCAACAACCAACACAAGTTTCTGGCCAGGATTTTATAACACGATTTATGATCCCTGCCCTACTGCCCGCCCGCAGGGGAAAAGGTCACTTTAAATATGACTACTTAGCTCATGCAAATATACCACAGGATCAACAGGGAAGTGAACGCGTGTGTGCCTGTACTTACAAAAGCACGTCTGTCACATTTTTCAAAATCTTTGGAAGCAGAGATCCAAATATCCTCCCTCTAGGTGAGCGTACGTGAATGCTAATATCGACATTCTGAAGGCAGGGAGACTTTACAATTCCTAGTTCCTCCCTGTCACAGGGGAGGGACTTGTAACTGCCTGTTCTAGAAAGTGGAGAGTGGGAACACTAGTCCAGTGGTTCAGGCCCGAGCTGCTGTGCGGGGTGGAGGGGGTGGGGGTGGAGGGGATTAAACTTGAAATTGACATTGTAGGAAGTGTTGAAGGAGAGACCATTCACCACAGGACCTTCTGTGGGTGGACGTGACCTGGTAAAGAAGAACGGCAGCTTCTGGATTGTTGGGGTTTGGGAGCCGCCAGCTCCAGACACCATCTCCTTTATCCCCAGCTATATTTCCAAAAGTGCACCCCCCTCCATATCTGGGTCTGACTCTAGCCCAATTCGGGGTGGGGAGGGGGAACCCATTGTGACTGGGATGAAATTTCTTCCCAAGAAATTTCACTTGGAAAGAAATCTCTCCCATCCCGCTCAAAAAGAAGGACATTCAGAAATGCTGATTTGTGGGGCCCGCAGTGGTCCAACAGGAAACGTGAAAGAGGAGGTCAGAGGAAGATTTGACTCCCTGGAGGAGGGAAGAGTGGAAGCCAAGGACGAAAGGCAGTTAATCTGAGGAGGGAGAAAGAGCAGAGGCTGCTTGAGGAAAGTTCTCGCAGGCAGGCAGGGCCCTGCAGAGCAAAGTGGGGGGAATTTTGGATTCCAAGACAGGAGGAGAGGGTGGCCAGCAGGGTCCCAAAGAGCAGCCACCACCATGCTTACAGCAGCGGGCAGGCACCAGGCTCCCACCAGGAAGAACTGAGTTTGTAAAGAAAGCTGGATCTAGTGACCATGGCAGGGAAGGAGGGAGGGAGGGTGAGAAGGAGGGAGGGAAGGGGGAGGGAGGGAGGAAGCAGAAAGGAAGTTGTTTACTCACGTACTCATTCAATTAAAAGTAGACAGAATCTCTAGGGTAGAAAGCACTGTACGAACCCTTTGGAGACAACTCGAAGATGACTCAGAGATGTCTGGGTAGAGATCTTTAGGCAGGACACCTGGGCTCTGTCGGCCTCCCCTTCCTCACACACACACACACACACACACACACACACACACACACACACGACTATCTAATATCAGGAAAGTATCTAAAATTAGTCATCCACTTCTTATTGCCTTATTGCAAATATACAGGCATTTGCACTTGAACCTGCCTTCCCCTTGATGGAATGAAAGGTTTTCACCCCGTGTTAAAGGACCTTGAGCTAGTACGGCTCTGGCAGAGAAGTATTTGGCAGGTGAGCAGCTCTGAAGATGCCCCACACAGATGACCATCTACCTCCTGTGTGGGGGACCAGGGGATGAGAGAGTTCCAGTGACCCAGAGGTGCGCAGACGGGCTCTGGATGAGAAATCGGAATGGGGACTCGGGCTGGATTCCATGTCTTTACAGGGTTAAGAACCGGAGGGTGGGAATCTGACTTGCTGTGGTTCATGTGGGGGTTTGGGGAAAGGGGGCATTTAGATATAGAAGGGTCACACTCTGACCCTGAGGCATCACAGCCTGTGCTGACAAAGCACAGCAAAGCCCAGGCTGCACTAAAAGATGTCCTCTAGCCCGCACACAGCCTGGCGCTTTAAGAGCAAGGACGGACTGGGTTCAAGTGCAACCCTGGCATTTCCTCACCCTGTGACAAACTGCTGCACCTCGCTGAGCCTTAGCCGTCTCCACTGTCACCTAGGACTAATGCATCATTCACAGGGTTATTGTGAGGTCTCGAGTTGATGAAGGAAGTGTTTAGTGCCATGTCTGATACACGTGTGTGTACACACACACACATTTATGTATAAAATATCACTACTCTGATAGGCAAACAATAGTATTTTTGGGATGCTTGCAGTATGCTAGATGTTGCTCCAATGCATTACACGTCTTAACTCATTTAACCTTTTGAAAATCCTATGACAGAAGTAGTATTATTATCCCCATTTTATAGATGAGAACGCTGAGGCACAGAGATGTTAAGTAACTCACTCAAGATCACACAGCTAGAAAAGCAGTGGGGTCTGAAAATACATTATAGCTTTTGTTAGTTTTTTAAAGGGCACCACTGTTCCCTGTTTAGAATACTAAAAGCAGTTGATTAGAATGATATAATATTTATTTCTCATAAGAAAAAAACATTTCAGCCTGAGTGGTTTCTTATTTCTGTGGATCTCACCTGATTTCCCTTTTGGCTTCAGCACAAAAACCTTGTATAGCCCTCCACTGACAGCCAGCTGGAGACGGATGCTGCGAACAGGAAGGATGTGTGAAGATTCCTTCAGCTTCACCTCTGCTTCTAACTGTTGCAGGTTACTGGTGCTGGGTCCGAAGAAGCCATGACAATGGAGGCTGTCCCCAAGAAGGCCTTGGAGGTCGATGAGAAGTCTCCAGAATCCAAGGACCTGCTGCCTAGCCAGACCGCCAGCTCCCTGTGCATCAGCTCCAGAAGTGAGTCTGTCTGGACCACCACCCCCAGGAGTAACTGGGAAATCTACCGCAAGCCCATCGTCATCATGTCCGTGGGTGGCGCCATCCTCCTCTTCGGCGTGGTCATCACCTGCTTGGCCTACACCCTGAAGCTGGGTGAAAGTAGCTGTAAGGTCCTTAAGATGATAGGGCCTGCCTTCCTATCCCTGGGACTCATGATGCTGGTATGTGGGCTGGTGTGGGTGCCCATCATCAAAAAGAAACAGAGGCAGAGACAGAAGTCGGTTTTCTTCCAGAGTCTCAAGTCCTTCTTCCTGAATCGCTGATGGCAGCCTCACCTTCTGTCCTCCCCATCATCCTGCCACCTCAACCAGGAGAAGGAGATCTGACATTTAACATCTCCATCTCCTTGGTGGGATTTGCCATGAAACTGATGCAGGCACATCCTCTTCCGCGCCCTGTGGGAAAGAGAGAGCTCAGGGCTCCACCCTCCTTGCAGCTGGGGGATGGTGCTGGATGTATCTCAATTAGTCTCTCTGTTATTACTTAGATCCTGGCCGCAGCCATCCCCTTTATGGCTCTCATTCCCTGCCCATGCACCCAGGCAGCACTCATCTAACTCTCTCTGCCAAGTGCTATGCATGTTGGGAAATTCCTTGGGGTGGGCTATGCCCCAAGGACAACGTCCTGTTTACATATCTGAGTGCCTGAGCTGGATTCTGCATTTGCATCCTTTTAGAACCGAAACTGACCAACAGAGGTCTTTCACAGAAGAGAGGGGAGGCTGAGTTCTGACCCACTGGGTTTGCCAGTCCAGCTCCCTTCATGGGCAAGATACTGACTTAGATTTCAAGGGACCAGACCAGTCACAAGTATGAAACATTCCAAACACTGACAGTGAAGGATGGCTGGGGGAAAACACTTTCCAAGAATGCACATTCCCCTGGACATAGCTCTGGGAGTTAGCCAGCCAAAGAAGTTCCCAGGTGTATAGTATTTACACCAGAGGCAGTGGAGTGGGCTCGGGGGTGTCACAGTCTCCTCTTGACCTTCTAACTCCTTCTCCTTGACTACTCTCCCCACCAAACTGGCCAATTAGCCAAGGACAAGTGCGTGTTGCCCTAACTTCCTCTTTCCCCTGATCCCCGGCTCTAGAACAGCAAGATGGAGAGCTGCAGAGGGATTCCGTAAGATTGTTTTCTCCTTACACCCATGGAGAATCAAAACCAAGAAGATCAAATTCCACATTTGAAGGGTGTGCAGGTTTCCAGAGACGGAATTCACTTTCGGAAATCCCCCCCTCTCCTCTCCCTGTCCCCACCCACGAAACAAGCCAACATTTGAGTGCCCTGCTCTGGGCCAGGCCCTGGGTTGGGAGCAAGACAGATACGGTCCCTGCTCTCATTTTCTTTCCAATGCAAGGACTACAGCCAGGCCAACAGGTGATTGGAATACCCCATGCTGAGTCCTTGATGGGGACAATGTGGGTGGGTGTGGGAACACGAAGGGGGCACCTAACCCAGACTTGGGAGAGGACCCAGAGATTGCTAGAGCTGTCTCATCCAAACTGAGGACAAAAGGAAAGATAAGAGTCTGCACAAAGGGGAAAGGAAAAGCATTTCAGCAGCAGGAATGGCCTATGCAAAAGCTCAGGAGAGGGAGGGGAAGCATGATAAAATTAGGAAACTGCATAGCAGCTTCCCAACCTCCCAATGTCCCGTCTCATCCCCTCTTGGCCTGCATTCCCCCTGCTCCCCTAAGTGCCCAGTGCAGCTTCTCAGGGCACATTGAGGGCCTCCTGGCATGCATGGTAGAAACTGGAAGGGTTTCCAGAGGGCCCACCACACAGAGAGCACTGTGAGGTAAGTCCTTCCCAAACCCGGGCTTACCTGTAACAACCAGAGGCCCTCAGGTGTAGACCAGGAGGGGTACCTGTGAGAAAGCTAGCCACCATGCTGCCCCAGGCCAGGTTTGAGGCCAAGTGGGGAGCATTTGATAATAAGGTATGAAAGGAAGGCATCCTGCCCTGTAACCATCATTGGCTTGAGGTGACTCCCATCACTGCTCAACCTTCTGCCCTGCCCCGGTCACCATGGCAACCCCTTTCTCTCTAACAGGCCTCCAGGTATCTCCATCCTTCATGGTGGTTCCACATGCAGAGTCAGAACCTCACCTTGTTCCCTCTGCATCATGGGAAATTCCATGGAGGCAGGTACCTGTGACATGGGGACACTCCCTGCCTTACACCACCTGAGGACCCAGAGATCAGGGAGCCTGTGGACTTTGAGTCTCACCCAGATGGCCATGTCTTTCGTTGAGACAGTGTGGCAGGGTCCTCTCGCCCACCAGTCTCCTGCACAGGTGCTCAGGACCAATCTTGGGGGAGTTGCAAGTGTTATGTCACTAATTATAGTTCTAGTGCCTCAAGTGACAGGGCTTTCAGATCATTGCCCTTTCTCTGACATAAAAGCGACTCAATACATCATCCTCACATTATAACATCGTCCTCACGTTTCTTGATGCTGTCTTACGTGGAGCAAATGGAGTGGATTCCCCGCTAGCTCGCTGGAAACCCACACTTCCCAACAGCTTGTAGTCTGGGCACAGCTGTGGGAGGAGGGCCCAGGTGGGTGCTGCCACTGGGTGTGTCTTAGGGCACAGAAGTTTGGGGACAGCCATGGCTCTAGAAGGCGTCCACGTTCTGGACTCGCTATGCAGCCTGCAGCAGTACTCACCCACATTCTCTGCTCCTCAAGCTCAGTTGCTTAGAAAGAAAAATGAGGAAAAGATTCTGAGGAAAGACCCCCAAGCATCATTCGACCCCACTGGGACCCCCCACGTGAGTGTGGGCCTAGGAACATGCCAGCATCGTGCTGAGAGGCCTCTGCAGGAGACCGTCACCACGCGGAAGGCTGAGGGAAGAATGTGCCTGCTCTGTGCATGCAGCCCATGCCAGAGGCCATGTTTCTGGAAAAAAGCATCACCACCCTGACTCCTTTCATTCCCGTGGATGAGAGACAGGCCCAGCATCCCCATGTTTGGCTAACCGGACTGCATTATCTCACCCACAGCTGCTCTGTTTGGGAAAGTCCGATTGAATCTGAGTCCTAAAGGAATTGATGTAATATCGAATTGTGTTCTATTTAGCAGTGTCTGCTGTGTTTTCATTCCATTCCATCAGGAATTCCAAGACTATCCACTAATTCATTCGTCTCCAATGCCCTCTGCCATGGTCACATGTCCTCCGCCCCCTCCCCAGAGAGCTGTCTGGGAGAAGGGGACAGTGCGGGTTTCACGCACGGCTCCTCCGGTGCTTCATAGGAGCTGAGGGCTCCTCTCTGAGATGCTGATGGGGCAGACAGGTCAGAAACTCCTGACTCCTTCCATCCTCACAAGCCCAGTAGAGAGACCCCAAAAGGGATATGGAAAAAGAACCCTCCAGAATTAATCAGTGGTCCAGGGGGAAGCAGGGTGACCTCAGGGTCAGCCTGTCAATGTCCCCATGAACTCAGGCAAGCAAGCACAAGAAGGGGTGACAGTTCAGCTCCCAAGACCTCCATGGCCTCCTTCTTCCTTCTAAGCCCTTCTCCCTTTCTCCTGGGCAGCCTCTCTGCTTTTCTGTGTCTTCAGTCCTGGCCCTTCTCTGCTTGGCTCCCCACCAGACTCACCATGTCCCTGGCTTTCTGCTGGCTTCAGCTTGTTCTGTCCCTAAAGGAAAAAGAAAGAGGATGCTGCTGGGTCTGGACAAGTAGCCACTATTTTATTCCATCTTCAATTCCTGCATCATTGCAGGAACGCCCCATTCCCTCCTGTCCCCAACCTCCTTCACTTCGTCACTATCTCCAGATCCTCAGATATCAGAAGTCCCTGGAAAACTAAAATCCAGAGCCCCAAATGTGTCTGATATTCAATGTGTGCAAGGGGACTGCCTGAGCACATACCTGGTGAGGCGTCTGGGCGACAGGAGCTGGGTGCCCTGGGGGCTTTGTGGTGGTGGGGGAGGGCGGGGGAGGGCTGTGAGAAGGGAGTGGGGGAAGAGAAGACAAGTGGCAGTTGGCAAGGACATTCTGCAGTGGTGTCTGAAGAGCAGAGGAGGGGCCTGGGCTGAAAGTAACGAACGTTTCTTGGGTGCTTGCTGCAAGGCCATTTTACAGGCGAGATAATTGAAGAAGAGGGACACCAAGCCGGGACAACGTCAAGCCAGGACTGAAACCCAGGCGGTCTAGCTCAGAGGCCACACCCATCACCCCCCCCCCCCCCCCCATTCAGCTCTTCAAAGGCCTCCAAGGGGCAGCAGAAGACACCAGGGTCTTGTGGCAGGCTCCAGGCTGCAAAGCGGGAAAAGCGGGTGTGGAGCTGGGGTTGGTAGGCAGGCGGGGAGGACTAACCAAGCAGGGGCCCAGAAGGCCAACCAGGAGAGTGGACAGGTGCCAGGAGGAGAGGACAATAGGAGCCACCAGCCAGGAAAGAACCAGCATTCTGAGCACCTCCTAAGTGCCAGGTGCCATGCGAGGGGCATTCACATAGTTTCTGTTTGTGCACTGCCCCCCCATCCCCAATCGTTTGTAGCACGTTTTACAAAGAAACAAGTGGGGCTCAGGAAAGTAAGTTACTTGCCCCAGGTCTCACAGCCCATAGACAACAGATCAGAGATGTAAGCTCAAGGCCGCCTCCAGAGCTCAGTGTTCTCATTCCCTGAGCTCCTGGTTTTAGGCCATGAGAGTGTTCAGAGGCAGGAATGGGGGTCTCTGACTGCCAGCACAAGGTGACACTGTCAGCAGGCTGGCTTTAGTACATCCAGCTTTCATCCCACAGGCCAGCTTTCCTGCTGGTGAGCAGGAGGCTTTGGAACCAGCTAACACTGGCTGCCACGACTTCACATCACATCGCAGGCCAAGTTCAAAACCCCCTCAAAAATTTAAGATCCCCTCCCACAGGGATGCTCAGAACCAACGGAGCGGTCAAGATCCAATGTCACTTCTCAAGCGAGCAAAGCTGCTGAACCCCAAGCCTTTCTGCAGGGAGAGGTACTGTGGGCCTGTTCTCCCTTTCTCAAAAGACCCTCCCTCCCTCATTCATGACTAGAGAGAAGTCACTGAGAAGCCTTGGGCCTGGTCCCTCCTTGGACCGGCTAAAGCAGGTCATCACCCATCCAGGTCCTACCTGATGCCTCACCCCAGAGCCCTGAGCCTGTGCTCCCAGCACCCACAGGGAGTGGTGGGTTCCAGTCTGAGGTTCCATCTATGCAGATGGCACACAGCTCCAGGGGCCACAGCAGCAGAGCCAGGCCCTGGCACTGTGTAGTCAGCACCCTTGGGTCTCCAGTGGGAGCCTGCTATACCTGAGGGACCAGCAAGTGTCACCCTCCAAATGAAGACCATCTCCCACTGCCCAGCAAGGCCCTCTGGCAAAACCACCAAAGTGGTTGCACAGAATTGGAGGAGCAGTTGCCAACAGTCTCTCAGATAATTACGTTGACCAAGTTGGGCTCATCTTCAATCAATAAATAAATGTCAACGTGAATAATGGTCATCTTCCTGTGGGGTTGCATGGCAAGAAACTGAAAGAGAAGGGAAGCATGATTCTATTATGGTAGCAGTTGCCTAAGTCATCCTCCAGGCCCCTAGCCCTCCCTCATTTCTCTGATCCTTTCTCAGACACAGCCTCTGGATCCATCCCTGGGAGCAGTCCTAGGCCAGCATTTCAATCCCCGAACACTGATCATGCACCAGACACCTGAACTGGGGATACGGTGATCAAGACATGCGCTTTAGGGGCTGGTCCAGTGGCGCAGCGGTTAAGTGCACACATTCCACTTTGGTGGCCTGCGGTTCGCCAGTTCGGATCCCGGGTGCGGACATGGCACCGCCTGGCACACCATGCTGTGGCAGGCGTCCCACTTATAAAGTAGAGGAAGATGGGCATGGATGTTAGCTCAGGGCCAGTCTTCTCAGCAAAGAGGATTGGCAGCAGTTAGCTCAGGGCTAATCTTCCTCAAAAAAAAAAAAAAAAAAAAAGACATGCTCTGACCTCAGGAAGCACTCAGGCTGGTCCCTAGAGGAGAGAACCAAGGGAATAAATCATCATGCATTATAACAGGGATGGAGGGAAGCAGTGGGCGCTGTGGGAGGACAGAGGATGGACACCCAAGTCAGTCCAGCCCCGGTGAATCCTTTCCAGTGCTCTGGAATAGTGCTGTGCCAGGTTTTCACATCATGGGTGGGAAGGAAGAGCCTGGAACCAGAGGACAGGAACAAGAGGGGATTGGGAGTGACCTTTGGTTGGGGCAGCAGGGGACGCTGGAACATAAAAAGCCACTGCCCTTGGATTATATTCACTACTCTATTTTATGGTCTTGCTTTTCACGGCTTCCTGCAAGACCTTTCCCTCACAGCCTTCAAATGTGTTGTAAAGGTGCCAATTTTGAAGAATATGCTTGGGGACATCACCTTCCCCCACCTGACTACACTTGCGTCCTGAGGCCTTGCCATCACAGAAACGGCAGTGTGAGTTTGTCCTTTCCTGGGATGTTGGTCTTCTTCCCTAGACCCCGTCTCTCCTCATTCTAAGACCTCTCTGAATGACTTCCTCCATGACGATGGCTTTAATTATCCGCTGTGTGCTGGTGACTCCCTAAATCTGTCCCCATCTGTCTAAATGCCTACTGGACAATGTGGTAGCTTCCTATTGCTGCTGTAAAAAGAAAAAAATCCTAAATTTAGTAGCTTAAGACAATCAAATTTATTATCTTACCATTCTGGAAGTCGGAAGTCCAAAATGGATCTCACAGGGCTAAAATCAAGGTGTCGGAAGGGCTGCATTCCTTCTGGAAGCTCTATGGGAGAATTTGTTCCTTGTTTTAGCTGGCTTCTAAGGCTGCCACTTCCTTAGCTTGTGGCCCCTTCCTCCGTCTTCAGAGCTAGAAATTGCATCAGTCTGACCTCTGCTTCTGTCGTCTCATCTCCTTCTCTGACTCTCCCGCCTCCCTCTTTCACTTTTAAGAACCTTGTGATTATATTGGGCCCACCTGGATAATCCCAGATAACCTTCCCGTTTCGAGATCCTTGTATTAGTTTGCTCAGGCTCCCAGAACAAAATACCACGGACCAGGTAGCTTAAACAACAGACCTTGATCTCACAGTCCTGGAGGCTAGAAGTCCGAGATCAAGGCGTCAGCAGAGCTGGTTTCCTCTAAGACCACTCTCCTCGGCTTTTAGATGGCTGCATTCTCACTGTGTCTTCAGTCTTCCCTCTGTACGTGTCTGTGTCCTAACTTCCTCTTCTTATAAGGACACCAGTTATAACTGGATGAGGGCCCACCCTAACGATCTCATTTTAACTTAATTATCTCTTTAAAGACCCTGTCTCCAAATACAGCCACATTCTGAGGTACGTGGGGTTAGCACGTCAACACAAATTTCAGGGGACGCGATTCACTCCTTAACTTAATCACACCTGCAAATTCCCTTTTGCCATGTAAGGTAACCTATTCACAAGTTTCAAGGATCGGAGCATAGACTTCTTTGGAGGCGATTATTCTGCCTACAACAAAACCTTCACCTTATTACATCCAGCAGCTTAAATTCAACCTGCCCCAAAACAGAACTGGTCCTCCTCCTTCCACGTCACCTGTCTCAGGGAATGACACAAACATCCACCACCATGCAGCAAGTCACCGAAGCCAGAAATCTGATGTTCTGAGAAAAATGTCAAAAATCACTACTTGCCTATCCAATATCCTTTCCCCCATTTCCTTGGTAATAAAACCTGTATTTTTGTTAGAGGCAGCAATATGCCTAGCTAAAATATGATATTCGTCAGCCTCCCGTATGATAAGAGTTGACCAATGAGATATATATGAAAATCATTAGGTGCGTGCAAGAAGAGGTCTTCATCTGCCAAAAGCTCTTTTCGCTTTACTCTTTCTTATTTGAGTGCAGACCTGATGGATGGGGCTGCAGCTGCCGTCTTCGGACCATGAACTGATCTCAAGAATGGAAGCCGTTGCCAAGGATAGCAGAGCAGAGAGTGAGAAGACTCCTGCAGCACTGGTGACACCCAGGGCTCTACTGGACTGCCTAACACCATCTCCTACAGGAGATCAAAATGAAACCTGGGACCAGCCCCTTGGCGCAGTGGTTAAGTT